GTGGTCTATGTCCAGCCTCTGACCAAGGATGTTCTTAAGTTGCAAATTTCTAGAGGCTGGGAGAATATAACCAAAATAACCATACTGTCTTAAGAACCATACTGTTCTTTGCCAAGAAGAAGGGTTACTGGGCTAAATGGACCTTCAGTGTGACTCAGATCAGGCTCATTAGGCTAAAAGTTCTCCAATACATCTGAACTTTACAGATTTTTCCTGTTTCCCTGCCCCTTAGTATGCTTATGTACACATTTAGTCCAAGTCTGATGTAAGCATAATGTGGTGATTATTGACCAAGATGTGCCTTTATCAGACTACTTGGTAGTTAATTGCTTTTTAAAGTTGTAAAAGTCTTCTCTTTAGGGTGGCTATTGACTGACTGTCATTTCACTACCATGGGAGTTTGGCAGGAATAGAAATTTCATGTTCTGTCTGACCTTAGAGTCAGAAAAGGACCAAACTGAACTCAGAAGATTGTCTGTTTCATCTCCCTTCATGCAGGTGAAACTGAGTAAATGTTACCTTGCTTTGCTTTTTCCTGAGGCCCAGCAAGTTTGGATGGTGTGTTCTTAATTTCTAGTGACCTGTTTTCAGAATGTATTCCACTGTTTTACAATATCAAAGCTTTTTGTGGAATTCAGTCTAAACAATTAAAATGAATACTCGCTTTTTTTTCCCTGTTTTTCATTAGCCATAGGGAATGATTGATTACAGTTTCAGTGATCTTGAGTGACCCAGACACATACAACTTTTTCTCATAGCCCTTATTGTGTGGGTATTGTAATTTTTTTTAAGCTGCTTATGATTCTCTAATTGTTGCAATAAATTTTGCAGTGACACCCTGACTCCTACAGTAGTGAACTGAAGAAGTGCTGTAGTTAATTTGTCTTGAGCATCTAAGAGGCTAATTTTGATTTCATTCTTCTGTTGTTTTTGGACATTTGGCCAGTTGTAATGTTGAATTCTACTTATGTCATGCTGGTTATTGTTATTATTTCAATTTGAAGAACTGAACTGTACTAGTATAATTAAGACAGTGAAAGAGAGATTTAAATAAAGTCAGTTTAAAATTGATCTACTTAAAAATGCATAGGTTTGGTTAAGCGCTCTTTTCCCAATCTCTATCTCTCTCACCCACCCATGTGCACATTTTTGAATTTTTCCCATAGTAAGGAATTATATTGTGAATTCTGGTTGTAGCTTAGTTTTATGAAAACTGAGATTTAAAACTAAAACAGCTGAAAACATTTGATGTATCATAAAGGACCTAATTAGGCTGCGGAAGTATGGTAAAAGGTAAATACTCAAAGGAAAGGCCTTTGTATTTTCAAGTGTTTTGGCATGAATAGTTGTGTCTTCGTAATTTCCTTGCTAATTTTTAGTCAAGAACCAGAGTTTTTCATCTTTCTTACTGGAAGTCCATAACCTTCAAGGTTCTCTTTCTCTCTCTGGAAGCCTTCAGAAATTCTGAGATAAAACTGTAGAAGAGTAGCTGAATTTCCATAAGCAAAAATAAATCGAACTCCTTTAAAAATGGGAAAGTAGATGTAAATTACGGAAGGAAGCGATATTGTAAAACAAGTGACCATTGATTCTAGGAGTGCTGATACCAAAAGGAATGGCAGAAGGCTCTTGTGAATCATAGCGGAGAACAGCTTTTATGTTCTGGGTGTACTTGCAGATAAACCAGTATTCAGAAATGATTGAATTTATTCATTCTGCTCCCATTGTCAGTAATCAGACAAGATTTGCAAGAACATTTATACCCAGGAAGAAAAGCAATATTGTGAAACTTTTGAAACAATGAAAGGATTTTTGAATTATGCATCAGAGCCTTCCCAGAAGAGGGACCTCAGCCCATATGGTCTCTTAAACTTACTCTTTACCTGTGTAGCAAAGATATAAAGATTTTCTCTCTTCTAGCATGTTGGTGAATTTAAGATTTAAAATGAACACATGTGATCAAGGCAATCTAAATGATACTAAAGTATTTTGATTTCACAATTAAAAAAGTGCAGGAGGTGGTCTGCCCTGATTATTCCGCTCTTTATGCTTTGCCAGACTTTGTGTCTCTTGGGTGGGATGCCGTATGATGATTTTTGATGTTTACAGGGATTCTTCTGTACATGACAAAATAAAGCCTGAGGTAAGGTAAGTAGAGAGGAGAAAGAACAGAAGGATAGATAAGACGGAGAACAGAACAGGAAGAAAACTCACACAGATCCTTTTAATTATTAATATAAATGCTCTCCTGCATGTCTGCAGGTGATTGAGGTTTAGACTGTGGATGTGTTATAGAAAAGACTCTCAAAGGAATATGAAACGTGAAAGGCAAATGAATATGCCCAGCTATGGAACTATTTATTTTTGCGTTATCATTTTTATCTGGAAAGATGCTTGGGTTATGTCTTGCAGTGGTCACAGAAAATAAATGATTGAAATGATGATTGAAATGATCAATTGAAATGATGAAATGATTGAAATAAAGTTGCAGATTCCCATAGCAATCAGATTTCCCGGTTTGACTTTGGTTGGCACAGCTTCATCTGTGGTAGCAGAGCTGGCAATGCTGATGGGGCTGCTGGCAGCCCCTCCACAGTGTCTCAGCTGGAGTGTCATCTAGTTCCTTGTGAAGAGAGTTGAGAGAGAGAGTTGGAGCAATCAGATGACATTTCTGTTTCCCCTGTGCAAATTCTTTCTTTTTCATGTAAGCATGCTGATTAATTTCACTTGCAGAACTGGATGATACTTGTTCTTGCAGACGTAAGATGCAAATTTGTAATCCTTTCCCAAAATTCCATTTTATTACCATATGGATATTTTAACATACTTAATTTTAACTAAATTTGATTACAATTTTGCATAATGGTAGAACATGGAAATGGTGAAACACCAGTAAGAATAGTAGGGGGCTGCCTGTGAACATGAAGGTGTTCTGGTCTGCAGAGATCCTTAAGCTTATTTGAAATCCCTAGGACATAATATGTGCTGTCTGTGGTATGTTCGTGTAAGATAATATACTGAAATAATAATTATGTTGATGGTTCTTGTGAGGAAAAGCTATCATGCTGACTGCTGTTTCCAAAGAGACAAAATACTAGCCAATTAAGGAATGGGTGGCTAATAACAAAATCCAACAATTTATTGTTGGATAAACTATTTATTCTGTGTATTCTGTGGGAGGAGAGATACAGTGTGTTAAGCTTTCTGACAGCATAATTCTATTGAAGTTGGTTGAATTGTGCCAGCAAATATTTTGGTTTTATAATCTCAGCTGCTGCAGCGAATAAATGTAGCTCTTCTATGAGCAAGTTCAAATCAGGAGCAATTAGTATTCCCCAGGCCTAATTTTCCACCTGATAAGTGAAGACAAATGTAATTAGAAAAGGTGAATTTGAGAATTCTGCTGGTAGCAGATCATCTGCTTGTGTGTAGCTTCATTGAAAAGTCTTGTCTCCTGCTTCTTCTCCCCTTTGAGCACGTTCTGGTTGTAGTCACTGCACCGAGACTGCAGTGTGCTTCAGCTGTGTGCTTCAGGATGTTTTCGTATTACCCTGTGGTGTTTGACCTGGTCTCCATATTAATTTTAAAATTAATCTACAAAATAACAGAGTGAAATAGGGCTTGGATGTGATTGCACCATTATTTTTTTTTCCGCATATAGTCTGAATCTTTAAAATATTAATTTGGTTGTCTCTCCTTATCTTGTGGATAAGGACTTTCTGGAAGTGTGACTCTGCTCTCCGTAAACACTGAGGCTGGTGTCGCTGTGGCTGTTGCTTCCTCTTCCCTTACCACCTTTGCCTTGCAGATTTCGCAGTGTGTCTCTTCCTGGCTGTTTGGCCCAGAGCATTTTTTAGGGATCGGCTGAAACTGATCCCATGGTCTCTAGATTGCTAATTTTTCCTCTCCCTCTGCTGCGTTTAGGGTGGGTTTGTTTGTTTGTTTATTGTCACACCACAAGGCACAGTAGGGAGGTAATTGTCAATCAGATGTACAATAGATTTTATTATTGATCACGTTGTGCAGTAACAGTAGGATGTCAAATTGAATTTTAAGCTCTTTAACTTAAAACTTCACTGGTGGTGGCTGCTAAGTGATGTACCCCTACTGATATGTCATACCCTGGGACTTGTTTTGAGGTTCTTCGACTTTGGACATTCCTGAAAGTTTAACTAGTTCCTGGTGATAAAGCAGTTTGGAAACTATTTAATTTCTTTTTTAGTATATTGTTTCTGATGTTGTCTTTGACCTGTTGTTTTAACATTATACATTTTCTGTGCAGTTGGATGCAGGTAGAGCCCTAACACTAGTGATGTTTGGTGGCAGAATGAGGTGTGCTCTCTGTGCCTGAGACTTGTCAGGGAAAGCACCAGCCACCACTGAAGGTCTGTGCTGCAGGCATCTGCCCATAGCAGGGTCTCCAGCTAGACCACCCTGAACCCAGACATAACAGGAAGGAAAACCCTACTGTCTGTGGTGTTCCAAATAGGTGACATTTAACACATACTATTTGTGGATTGGTGCCCATTTTCACATCTTCCTTGCAATCAGTTATTATAGTTCAAATGTTTTCCATTTTATTTTTGAGTACATTACAGAGAGACTGCAGGCCAGCTTCTGCGCTTGTATCCTTAAAATTCATACTTCTGCTTTGTACTCGGACATTTTGTTACCAGCATACTGTTTCTTTGGCTATGGATGGAAATTATTTGTTGGTACAAACAACTCTGATGATGAATATATATGGTATATTTCTTAAAGGTGATCATACAAATTGGGCTGTTAAAATATAAACTACTTTGTATGTAGAAATATCATTTGAAAGAGGAGGAAAGAAGCATCTAAGATAGCCTGTTTTAAAGGGTATACCTATTTTGCCAATTTCTTAATTTTCTTTATTTGATCCACTGTATATTTAATATCTGAAATGTCATTGCTAATAAAATCTCCCATTGAATACTTTTTTCTAAACATTTTCACTTTCTTTTTTCTCTTTGTAGGTGGAAGAAATTGTTGATATAGGAGCATTTGCCCCAGAAGACATTCATGTTCCCAAAATCTATGTTGATCGTCTGATACAAGGAGAGAAGTTTGAGAAGAGAATTGAAGTAAGTGGCTGAGATTCTTGGTCACAACATATTACAGCTTGGGGTGTATTTTAGAATTTCAGGGGTTTTACTCTAGCCACCAAGTCATAGCACTGAGAAAATAGTGTGAGAAAGACCTGTGAAGTTTTGCTAAGTGCTGGAGTTCAGGTAGGCACCGGGGGGCCTGAGAATTAAGATTTGTTTCTTATATCTCAGCCTCTCTGGTTCAGTCCCAGAATAATTTAGAGCAGCTGCCTGTAGTTGTGGATGGCTTTAAGGCAGTTGAGAATTTGTTGGAAAATGCTACTTCATTGTCCTTCATTCTCTCGATTCACCTTCTGTAGACACAACCAGGACACCTAGACTAAGGGCTGACTTTGACAATTAGATACTTTTCTTTTGACATGGTCACACGAGGCCAGTCCCAGCCCTTTTTGTGCTGTGTGTTGAATTACATTGCAAAGGTCTTGGAACCCTTCGTTCCTTTTCTTTAGTCAGGAACTGTTTTTAGCCAGTGGCATTCCTGGTTTGAATAAAAAAATATCAATAGCTATTAAAAATTGCAGCAACAATATTCCATTACTGAAAACATCCAAGAAATATGATGATTATGTAATTGTTCTTTGTTTCTGTGGCTTTGCCTCACTCAAGTTATGTCCTTGTGTTCATTTTGGTGATATGACAATACTCTTAAAGTGTAATTGAAAATTCTGTGTTTCTCCTGTGTCTCCATACTTTGGAGGTGGAAATTATGCAAAATGTCATCAGAAGAGCTGGTGGAGGGGGAGATAGATGACACAAGGAAAAAAAAGTCTTGAAAATAAAGGTGCAGAAAGGAATTGTAATAGTTAAACTTTGATTACTAAAATCAAATCACAAAGTCCTAGAAAGTCATGTAAGGCCTTTTCTCTGTGTAAACTCTTAATGAGTGCTAAGGTTAAAAAGCTTTCTTTTTCCTTCTGTCTGTTCATTCTGCAAAAGCTTATGGCGTGTTTTTGTGTATTTCACTGGAAACAGATGTGACAAACCTCTCTTTTTTTTTTTCTTTATTCTTTCTTTGGGCATGTTGTGTTAGACTGCAATTAATGGCCTGTTTCCTTTTTCTGAATGGATGCAGTATCTCACAGAAAAGCTTTTAACTTTCATGAGAAAAATCCATTTTGCGTTTATTAAACTGCTGTTCTTACTCAAGTTCAGCAGTGGTGACTGCCAAAAGGGAAGATTTTTATACAAACACTGGATTTTCTTCGGGTTGTCTGCCTAAGTGAATGCATCTACCTAGTCAACTGCCCCCCTTCCCTATATACTTACAAAAAAAGAAAGTGAGAGGGGGAAAACAAAAGCTACAGTAAACTGCACAGCAAAGTTGTAACAGAGATTAGTTTTGTTTGTGTAATTTTGCAAATCTCCTCTGGTACCTCTCATTAATAGAAGTATAGAAAGGAAACAGCAGATGTGTTTACTCTTCTATAAAAGATTATACATGAAGGAAGTGGCTGTGTACATAGGAATGTGTTCATTATGGTAAGTGGTAAGAGGAGAGATGAGGAATAAAGAAAATAAGTAGAAGGTAGTCTGTCATAGCTCTTACATAGCAGTTTCTGCCTAATTTGACTCAGACAGGGTTCCTTTTGTGCAAGTTGTACTTTCTACCCAACCTTGGGTTTGATGTAGAGAAATCCTCTCCAATTGTTCTTACTTTTCCCATAGATTACAAGTGAAACAATTCTAGGGAAAATAGCCAAGGCATAAAAATAAAGTTGCTGGGAAGTTTAAGAGGATTGATACTGACTGTTTCTGGCTGCCTAAGAGGAAAGTGACTCCCAACATGGGGAAAAAAGATGCTGTAGAGGTTCCTTTGTGGTGATGAAAAGGAACAGACGATAATTTTGCCTGGTGTGTTTATTATGGCCTGAAGTAAGAGAGAAGTAGGAGAGGATGTGAAAGATATATGGGGGTGCGAGACATGAGGCTGCCCAGAGCAGTTTTACATGCATGAGAGAGATGTGCAAAGAACATAATCTATGTAAACAATAATTTCCAAAAAAGGTCTCACAAACTTCTGGAATATCGTGGCATTTTCACCTACGTGTGATTTAGAAAGCATGGACTTTAGGCCAGAAAATCTCAGGAAACAAGTTCAGGCAGATTTATGCAAGATTATACAGATTTATGTCTGAAAACTTAGCTGCTTAGCTGTCAGTGTCTCTAGATGACTGGCAGTTGTCTGTCTCAAGCATATAAGTCTAGAATAGCACCACTGAATTGAAAGAATGCAGAAAGAGAGCAGTATTTGTATTTTAGGCTCATATTTTACAAGTCTATTTAGGTATCTCTGGGGTAACGAATCTCAAACTTGCTAGTATTTGCACTAATTCCTGGTGTCTTCTTAACTAGTTGCCTATGTATCACGTACCCTCTCAGCCTTGGCAATACAGACAAAGAAATAAGATTTTGCTCTAAGGCTATCATTAGGGATATTTGATGACTCCATTGGCTTAGATAAGCTTGAACTGATAGAATAAAAGGTTGTTTTTTGTAGAAGATGGATAAATAACATTATTAGACCAAGTATATCAGTGCAATCACAAATCAGGCTTTTGTGTCTTGAGAAACAAGAATCTGGATTCTCATCTTTTCTTATGATTACTTCTTCTTTTGCAGCGCTTATCAATCCGAAAGCCTGAAGACTCAAAAGCCAAACAAAAACAAGGAGACAATGTGAGGGAGAGGATCATCAGACGGGCTGCTTTGGAGTTTGAGGATGGCATGTATGGTATCCTTCAGCTGTGCTGTAGGTTAAAGCAAGGACTCACTACAGTAACCACCACAGCTGCTTTGTTTAAAACAGGTTAATTACCATGCTCGTTGTCTTTCCCAGAACCTGAGATTCTCTCATTTTATTGACAACCTATTGAAATACATTGGATGTTAAGGCATAGGGTACCTTGTGTTTTTATCCAGGCATATCTGGATAGTTTGTTAGTAGTTGAATATTTTGCAAGGATTTCTTTAAGGAGTTACATATGTTGGAAATTAAGTTTACTTGCACTGTGGGTTTTTTATCATGTAAAGCATTTGACAGAATGCAATTAGACAGTCCAAATGGCAAAATAATTCATTGCAAATATGAGGCATCTAACTAAAAATGAAAGTGTTTGTGAAGAGAACAGTTCTAATCTAATCATAGTACAATGATAACTTTTTTAATTTACTAGTTTGCAGTAAGTGTGTTCCTGTTTGTGCCTTAACCAATTATCTTCAGCTAATCTGGGTATTGGAATCCCACTGTTGGCCAGTAACTTCATCAGTCCAGACATAACTGTTCACTTACAGAGTGAAAACGGAGTCCTGGGTTTGGTAAGAATATATCTTGGTCACTTACTGCAGTGTATTTACCTTGCAGTGCATGGGGTTTATTTCCTACCCACATCCAACCTGATTATAATTTTACTAGAAATTGTATTCAAATATATACCATATTGCATGATCATAGAATTCTCACCACAGTGAAGGGAATTTTTAAAGGAAATGCTTATTTCAGCATTACAGCACTACTTTGCTGAGCATGTTCTTTTGTACATGTTTTGCTGGAAGGAGTCAGAACCTTCAGTAGTTTGCAAGACCAAGCCTTGTAAGCTTTATCAAACGTAATTTTAAATAGAGCTTAAAAGCTTATTTTCACTGTCATATGACTTTATGAAGTTGCACCTGCATACCTTTTTCTGAAAAATGTCTGTCACTCAAACCAAACAAATCCCCCACTTCGTGGTTATTTTATAATTTTAACAGCTTCTAACATTATGTCCATCAGTCCATCAGAATGTTAGTTGATGGAAATTGTGGGTTGTATTGTCAGGGATGTTATTCTGCTAAAGATAAAAAAAATATGTGTCTGTGATGATCTGTTTTCAGTAATAAGCATTAGATGTAATAAAGCAGTTATGAATTGTAAAGACATTTTTTAATATAAAGCTAACATATGTTTGTGTTGTTCTCAGGGTCCTTACCCACTTGAAAATGAAGTAGATCCAGATCTGATTAATGCAGGTAAAATCTTTTAAATAAATTTAGTTTATGGGAAATGATTATTCATTGTTAATCTAAAAAATGTCATTTCTTTCAGTATTTGAACCCAGACTTCTGTTTATTTACTTATACATATTGATGTATTTGTCTTCTTTTAAGTGAAAGTTGGTTTTGATCAATGGAGATGTTTAGTATTCTAGTTAGAGAGCTTATGCTTTGATGCATTTTAGTAGCTACTGAAGGAAACCCTCTTCCAGGCCAGGCAGCAAAGAGTTAGATCTTCTTTTTCAGAAGTGAGATTGTTCTGTGAAGTCTATATTCATATATGGATTTACTTTTCCTGCTACTTTTCACCCTGTTTCTTCTAGAAAATGTTTTTTAATGATTTAAGTTTGGGATGTGTTAAAACATGAGAGATGTAGCCAGGGCAGGGGGACAGAGTTCCCTGCTGCTGCTGGTGGCTGCTCATTGATGTTAATGGCTTAGGTTGTAGACCCTTAGCTGATATCTTAGAGTTGGGGTTTTTTTGGTATGGAAAACCTATGGATTTTTAATTTATGTATACATATACATACATATACAAAAATGTATGGGTATGTACATATGTATCTCTGTAGACAGTACTTTCCTCAGCTGCTATTAGCAAGTACAATTAAACTCTGCAAAGTCAAAGGAGACAGTGCACTGACATCAAACAAGCTTTTAATTTAATATCAGGTGCAGTCCAGCAATTGTTCACTGACTTGAGACATTTGCTACCTGGCTTGACTAATTGATGCCATTATCATACCGCTATATTATTGGCCCTGTTTCAGTATTATGTTTTAAACAAGCAGTTATTTAAGACCAACTTCTGATTTGAAATAAGAAATTCTAAGGAACTGAGTCCAGCATTTCACCAGTAGCTAGGTAACTGTTGTGATACACTGTATGAAGGACAATGTTAGAGGCACATGAGAGCCATGTTAATTTTGAATTAAAATTGAGCCGTTTTTTTGAAAAAAAAAATAATTACTGAAGGTGTCATTGGAAGGAAAAAAATATTTAGAATAAAAAAAAATACTATAAAATGTGAAATTCTATGCACACATATTAGAACTTAAATTCTAATATCGATGCATTAGAAATGAACATGTTAACAGAGTGATGATGGAAAAAAATATCCAAGAACTTGATAAATACTCTGAAAAATTGCTGTGCTTTTATGTGAATGTCAAGATGATCTTGAATTGTTGCTTATGGTTGATAAATATTTTTGAAGAGATAATCTTGCAGAGATGAAGATAAAGTAAAGAGGTTAGAATGCAACATGAAAATCAGATTATTCTGGTATTGGTTCTTCATCGTTAGGCACCTTCACATCTTCCTCTGAAGCTGCAGTAGGCAGGGCACAGGGTAGGTGAACCTCAGCTCTACCGCCAGAAGTACTATTGTTATCATTGTTGAAACACACAGAACCTGCTAAATCTGTCTGATGCTTGGTTGGATTAAAACCACTCTAGGTGCTTTCCAGCTAAATCTAAAGAAACATTAAGAAAATACAATGCAAATGGCAAAAGGAATAGGATTTAATTCTGTTTGCATTTATAAACCGGAATGGTACAGTATCAACCCCCAAAGTCTACATTTTCAAAATATACTCCCAGTGTGGGCTTTTGCAAGTTTTTTATCTGCACATGTAATTGTTTTTTTCTGAAATATAGGGGGTGAGGGCGTTGTCTTATTTTTTTGATGTCTCACGTGAAGTTTATCTTCTCTGTAATTGGAGGTAGACTTCTTCCTTGCAGCAGAAATATTTACAAGTCCTGACTTCCTGAGAGCATTTTCAAGAAGTGGGCAATACAATGCTCTGGGTACATTATTCTGTGATCCTCAGCCTCTTTCTTCTCAGCATTGCGTTCACTTACCGCTTTATCCCATGGCTCTCACTCCATGTTGCTGCTTGTAGGCCATGTCGTCTCTCCTGCTCCTGTGGGTGGGTGCCTGGCAGGGAAGGACAATTCAGGCAGCCTCAGTGGGTCTAGATGTTTGCGTGGTAAATTCTTGTGATCAGACTGAAAGGCTGATGGTATGACCTCAATTCTGTACTATTTTGTGTGTCAAAATTTAATTTCCATACAATATCTCAGCACATAATACAGATCAAGTGAACTCAATAAATTAAAACAGGTAACTTAGATTTCTATGTTAACTTTCCTGCAGTGCTTCCTTCCCTTTTCCCATCCTCTTAATTATTCTTATTGTCTCTTTTCCCCTGGAGACTGTTTAATGATGTCTCATTCTTCTTCCCCTTGTTGAAACACTAATGTTTTTTTCAAAATGTCATCTGGTATTAAAGTCTTTTTTTTTCTTTTTTTTTTTTCTTTTTTTTTTTCTTGTTAGTTTCCCATGCTTGGTTTATAATTTCATCTTCAGCTGTGTTTCTTATGCCTTTCCAGAGACACCCTGTTGCTTAGGCTGATTCAATGTGCTGCCAGGAGAGGAAAGGGGCAGATTCAAAATGAGACACTTTCATGTGTGCTCCGTGGCTTGTCCCAAGCACTGTGCACAGGACAGCACACAGAAGCACATTTTCTTGTGCACTTTAACAAAACGAGAGTAGACTAGATCTGTGATTTATTTTACTGTATTCTACATCATTATCACTCAAGACTGTTCAATGTGGTCTGCTTGCTCGTCTTGCAACCTCCATGTCTCCTGCAGATGCTCTTTCTCTGTTTCAAATGAGAGTTACCTCTCACTTTTTCTGTGGCTAGAGCAGAAAGCTGAAGTACACAGAGATTTCTCAGCCTCTAGTATGTTAGCCTCTGATGTCTTTCCTGGAACTGCTGGTGATCAAAGAGCGGGCAATCCTACCATTAAAAACTATAACAAACTGCTTCACAATTCATTATGATTGATGAGGTTTACGTGTGACATAGTAAGTGTAATCAGGTCCATAGTTGTACAGAATCCAAAGGAATTTGATTTAAAAAACCTTATTTCTTGGTTAATAGATGTGAGACAATATGTATATACATACTATAGCTTATTTCTTTTACAGGTAAGGAGACAGTCACCGTTCTTCCAGGTTCTTCCTATTTCTCTAGCGATGAATCATTTGCAATGATAAGAGGGTACGTAACAACACAAACCCTGATCTTTTGAAACGTGAAAAAAATAAACTGAGTCAGTGACTGAACTCATTAGTAATTCTTTGAAATGTGGTTAGCATTTAACAGCCTGTAAAATGATCATGGGCTTAATCAGGGATGGTTTACAGAGGATTAGGTCTAGCAATTGGAAGTAGAAAAAACACTGTACCAAATAGATACTGTAGTGATGTTCATGTCTACCACCACCTGGCCATATATAAACACATTTATGTTTTAACAACTACTTTTTGGTCATTTCCAAGTATCTAATCTGTACTTGCACTGTGTATACTCTCTTTGCTCAGCTTGCAACTGTGATCCTCATTCCACCTCCCTAATGGAAATTCACTGTCTGCACCTGTTTTTCATTTGTTTTTCGGGAAGGAGGTTGGATGCAAACAAACACTAAATCCTAATGGCTCCGAAAAGATAATGAGTGCATGTAAATATGTGAAGGAGTGCACTCAGAAGTACCAGTTCAGAGCTGATTGACTATGCATGCAATTAACCAAAACCAGACAAAAGTAATAATGTTTTTGAAGCTCAGTAGGCAGACAGAAAAATTTGCATTAGCAATACATCTAGAGGGGAAAAAAGCCCCCAGCCTCATGTGTGATAAAATGGTTGCTAACTCTGTGGTATGCCATGGTCTTTATATTGATGTAATGAGAATGTGAACGAAAGCTTGTTAAGATTTGTGGGGTGTTGCTTGAATGTGATATGCTAATTGCGCACTTTCTGTTGCCAGAGGCCATGTTGATCTGACAATGCTTGGAGCTATGCAGGTGTCCAAGTACGGTGACCTGGCCAACTGGATGATTCCTGTAAGTAGGTGTTTGTGCTACTGTCAGTGCACTGTATTTAGGATAATACAAATGTAGCTGAGGGTCAGACAAAGGAGAAAAGTTCTGAAGCAGACTGGCGGTTGTGAAGCTCAAAGCATTAAAATAGAGGATATGTGCATCTTTAAGGTTAACACGTTTTCTTGTGTACTGCTGGTACCAAGCAATCAATTATCAGGAGTCAGCCCTCTATAATGATGCTTATAGTAAGCGTTCTGAGAAGCTAAACATGATTTATGTAACACTTTTTCCTTCCTCTTCAGTCTGTGCCTTTCAAATGGCACATTTTTTGGCTGAGGACCAATGCTTTTTCTTGAGAGTGACAGCCCTTGTACCTGGAGCAAGAACTTGAAGGAAGGTGTAAAATAGCAGGTAGCTAATTATAAAATTATAAAAAAGGTCTGCATTGTTTTTCTCAGGGTTCCTGTCAAAGGATCACAGGATTGCCATTTTGAATACATCTAGAAGAAAGCAGTACTATTGCATTTACCCAAACAGTCCTACAGGTTTCAACCACAGAAATATAGGCTAATCCCAGTATTATTTAAGCAGCAGATGACATTAAGCCATTCTTTGAACAGAGTTTATGTTTTAACATTAAACAAAACATGTATCATTCCCCTGGTTTACAAGTTCGATATTTTCAACGGCTTTCAATATGGTACTTTCTGATACGGTGTGTGTCAGAGATGACTAGAAACAAATTTATTTTTAGCCTAGTTTAAGGTAATGAGGCATGTTTCTATCTAGAAGAGGAGGTAAATCTGTTAGAAAACAGTTTTCCTTAGATGTTCTCACAGCACAGCCTGGTTTTATGGTCACACAACTGAGAACAGACGGACTAGTGCTGGCTACATCTTTTCAATCTCTTACAAGCGCTCGCTTTTTCAAGACTGTTTCTACTTGCAGTGTTGTCCAGTTAATATTGTGAAAAACGGGATCTGAAAGTTAAAGCTGCTGCTAGTGCATCACTCTGGGATCCTGTGTGTGCTCTTCTATTGCTGTTTTATGTCTTTGAACTCTGTGTTTTAAACATAAACTGTTTGTCAGATGTACTATAAGAGTCCAAATATGACATGCATTAAGGTAACACTGGTTAGCTTTGCATTATCCAATTCCAATTTATTTTTTTGTCTTGAGTTTCAAGAACTTGTCCCTAGAATCCAAAATAATGAAGCCAGCCTCTATGGAGGAACCCCCCCACACTTTGAAACGTAGGGGATAAACCACCTTCCATTTTTAACCTTAGATTTGCTGTTTGAGCCATGGAAAATGTACGATAGTGTAAGTTTTAAAGGAGTTGAAACCTCAGGTAACTAACATTGGGATTCACCTGATTTATCCATGGCTCTGTATCTCAAAAGTATGATAAATCACCTGAAGACTATTTATATATTTTAAATAGCTAACTTAAAAAACCATACATTTAGTAAACTGTAGTTTTTTTCAGGTGATTACTTTCATTTATTTATGTTGATCTACACTGTCAGTCCGGTACTGCATGTGTATGTCACTGAGAAGCTAAGCAGGATGCCTTTTCCTTCATGTCAGTCTGAGAACTACTCTTTTCTTTACTGGATGAAGTAGCTCTGGTTTTGGGAAAGCACTTCCTTCATTAACTTATGGTGGCTGTGATGTCTTACACAAGTAGAAATTACTTGCTTACATAGTGACTTTTAAAAATTATTCTGAATTATTACATTCTCTGAAAATTTTGAAGATGGATTAGAATAAACATTTAGAGGCAAGTTGTCACAGTATAAACTCTTTTTTTTTTCCCAGAAATAATATTTAGAGGTTTTCTTACAGGCACAGTTCAAGATTATTTTAATCTATATATCTTTTTATTTCAATTGTTAGATAAATTCCTGGTTTTGTTTAGCTTGATTGCCTCAGGGTGACATTCTCTTTTGCAAAATGAAAGTCGTTGTATAAACGTGTCCCTAGACTATCCTTTATATTCAAGATTACTGAACTCAGGAGATTTTCGTCTTTGACAATCCTTTGGTCCTGAAAAAGCAGTGTTAATATTTTGTGCACCTAGTAAAGTCTTCTGTTTACTCAAGCTGTTTCTGAAAGGCCCATTAGAAAGCAGAAGGGGGTGGGTTGTAGGTAGGAAGAATTGCTTTGTTTGCATTTTCATTGCTTTTGTAAATTGAAGCAGCAAGAGAATTATTCTTCAAAATACCCAAGTGAACAAGTAATAAATAAAGTTTCCTGCTTTAGAGTATTCCTAGTAAACTAGTAAAAATGCACCTCTAGGGATAGCTCATGAAGCTGAAGTGCTTGAAAAAAGGCTCTCCTGAATCATCAGTGCATTGATTTTAATGGCAAAACATCCCAGTAATTTCAACTGACCCTATTGATATGTCAGGATATAAAATTTCATGCAGTTACATTTGTTATGAATCTAAAAGCTATTCACTAGATAGTTCTTGAAAAGCAATGTCATGAGCCAGAGCAATTTGCCACTTGTTTTTTTGCTTGGTTTCATTTTACTTGGGGTGGGGTTTTTTAATTTTGTCTTTTTAAAAACGCCCATTGTGCTATATTGCCAGTTTTATTTTTATTTTGACCTCTACTCCTACTGGCTTTTTCTAGGACTTTTCTACTGTGTTCCAGAGCCTTCTAGCAAGCACTGTTCAGGGTTATTATTCATTATAGTACTTGTAAATAGAGTTGCAGGACTTTTTCTTTTTAAATTAAAACTTGCAGTTAAAGTGTACGTGTATTGCCATTTTCTCATGCCAACTTTTGTTGTTTCTCATAGTTCTGTCTTTTTTGTGTTTGACAAAATTAATCACTCCTAAGAAGCATTTTCTAAGCTTGATAAACTACATATATTTCATACAACAAAATGTGTTTTGATGTTGTTTTAAGTATTGAATCAAAAAATTAAATTTTAGTCAGGGTATATACTTAGAGAAAGAGGTGAAAATCTAACTTTTGCTGTATTTAGGTAAACTTCAAAATCAAGATATTTTCCCAAAGTGTTTAGTTGACTGTCCAGAGCTTTTTTGATTCCTATTAGGACCAGTTTCTAAAGTTATGTCATAATTGGAGTCTATTGGTATTATTTTTCTGGTATTTTCAACTTGGTAGTAACATCTGTATTTAAGTAAAACATTTAATAATCTAAACTTCTTCTCAAAACTCAACTTTAGCTTTTGTCCTAGACTTAGACTGAACTAAAGCACAGCATTCAGAGATGCTGCAGGCACAAATAATACTTACAGTACCAAGCAATGTTTTCAGGGACTAAGTAATATTCACTTTTCCAGTAGTTCTGTGCATGTTATGCTTTATTTCAGGGTACTTTTTGCCACAGAGAAGTTAAACTCATTTTTCTGATGATGGTGAAATTCTTTCACTGATGGTTTTTGTGACTTGACTGTCAAAAGATGAAGCCAGCATTTTGCATTAAAAACCAGATTCATTTGCAAACACAGTTCTTGAAACATTGAAGCTTAGATTGTAGTCTGTTTTTCTCAAAACTGTGCAGACTTACATATTCCTTCCTTCAATGCTTTATGTTCTCTAGAAGATGCTGATTTTAGTTTTACATCCACATCAAGGACATTATTTTCCATAGCTGGAATTGCTTATTTTGTTTCTGAAGATGCCTCTTCATTCTGTTCAGCCCCAAATTTATGAATAACAGGTATGATTTCAAAACAGAATAATATAAAATACAACTTCGGGTAGCGTTTATTTGTCTTTTTGTTACTTTTGAGATGTACCTTTCTACTAGCATACACCACACGGGTCCCTGTGCCTTTTTGCTATCCTCATTTACCCCTCTTACTAACCTTTGACTATCTGCAAATTTATTTTTCAGTGAGACTATATTTACTTTTAAGTAAATATGCCTGATGACACTCCATAAATCCAGCCAGGAGCCTTTACAATCAACAATCGTTTCCCGTTGGTTACTTTGTTTTGAGATACGTTGGTCAGATGATTCTTGATCCGCTTTACTGATGAGATATTACTATTCCACAGTACAGATTTTTAAAATGGGATTAACCAGCATGTAGGTATTGAGATCTTCCTGCTTTTCCTGTAAATAAGACCATGTGTTACCATCTTTCATGTCAAGTTGAATTATGAGCGAGATGCGTCTTTTTTCAGTCACAAGTTTTTGTGGGGTGATAGAAAGATTGACTTTGCTGAAAGCTCATAGTGTAAGAAAACCTTAAGCTGTATTTTATTGTAAAATTTTTCACTTGGCTTTGTGTTTAGGTTTGGCTTAAGTATTTCTTACATGCTGTAACTTTTGGGTTCTTGGATTGGTGGTATTCACCACTTTCAAAGGCAAGTAATAACTCTGAATTTCGTGTTTTGTGTAAGTACCATTGTGGTGCTATCCTTTCTGTCCCACAAGAGCTTGATGACACTTGAGGTGTAATGTGTGCATGTGTGTATTTATTTGCACTTGTTAGGAACTGAGCTAAGGAAGGCTCATTGCAACAATTGCAACACTTTCTTCGCTCTCACCTGCTAATTTCTAATGGAGAGGAAAATCCTGTGAGTAAAGGAAGAAGAGGGTGAGAATATTTTAAGCACGTGCTGTAAGCAGTGCTGTTTACTTAGGCAGAAGTTGCTTCTTTAACACCGTCAGTTACTGATAGTTTTACTCCATTAAGCACCACTAGTTAATGGCTTTTTGTCTTCCTCCCTTTGGTATTTCTTCAACTAATAAGAGGGTTTCCAGTGAGGGAGAGGAGAAGGAGGTGGCAAATTTGTGAAGAGCACCTGGAAACACAGTGCAGCTGGGAGAAGGTGGCCAAGAGAGCTGGAAGTGAAACGCTTGGGAAACAGCCATGGAGTAGGGCAGACAGGCCAGAGCAAATGGGAGTCCATGGCTGCTGACAGCTACTGGATGGAGCCACGTTTCATTTTGTGAGTGAAAGACGTGGTGTCTGACCTATCTGTGTCTCTCAGGCTACTGGCAGAAATTGCTGCTATTAGAGTTTCACTGC